TCACGTTTTTTGAGTTCCATATTCGGAATCAGCGCCATGGAAAGGCCTGGATAACATAAATATATAGAAGTCGAGAATCTGCCTGGACGCTGTCTTCAAAGGCAGCGTCCACCCGAGATCCACCAAACTAGATTAGCGCATAGTTGTAAGGAGGGCCCCAAAAATATCCGACCTGCGTTGGTCCGATTGACGTGACCTCTGAAAGGAGACACGAACCTGTGATGTATCACAATCCTCCCCTCGTATCACAAACCTCCCCTTAAAGACGAGTGCTCACACAAGAGCGCTGCATCAGCACCCATGCAGTTGCAGCTCCTCCCATCTGACAAGCTGAGGGATGAACAATCCGAAACTCGTCCGCGCCCGTAAAACAAGGACCCCAGGAATCGGGTTTTTCCAAGGTTTTGGGCAATTTGAACTTTATAGCTATAATCAAGGCCACGGAAAGGCCCTAGAATGACAAAAACATGAGAGGCGAAATTTTACCCGGACACTGCCTTTAAGTCTTCATTGAACAGTAATGTTTGTCAACGACAAGCTATCAGATATTGAATGTAACATACATGGTAGATCCACAATACTAAAGATTGTAGATTATTTGGGTAATCTACGACACATAGAATGCTGTAGCAACGTATCAAATGACGAAGATTAAGAAACATTTTTGTGAACTCATGAAGGAGCTAAAATGGTTTTGTTTGCGGAAAAAGTTGTAAAGTAAGAAATAAGTTTTTCATTGGCATACACTCTTTACTCTCCAAACTAGCACTTTTACATTGCAAAAAATGGCGTCGCAGGCGGGAGTCGAAACTGCGGACCTAAGGTATGACTGGAAAAAAAATATTTTCAATACTCAAACACTATCACAAGCAGTATGTTTGATAAAGATGGTGAGTGTACCAACTGGCTTAGAAGTCCTGCTTACGAAGTTTATGAAGTCTCACACAACAGCAAGTATTTCTACCAACCATGACCATAAATACTTTTCATCCTTTTTGTAAACTTTTTCACGGGCCCATACAAGTTATCTGTACTTGATGCTCAGTTACACTTGGCGAAATCTCGTCTTATTTCGTAACCTGTAGATTTTTTTATAATTTTATGTATGGCAATAAAATGAAAATAGAAGGTCGTATCTGGAACGCATCTAAATTTTTTCGCAGCTATGGAAGCCTGCTCGTTGCATTGCCGTATCACGACACCATCCTCCCCCTGCTTTCTAGCTTGAGACTTTCAGGCTGTTTCGTTGCGTCTCCAGTAAGCTACAAGATTTTGCGCTCGAAACTCCCAGTTTTTGGTCTTTAGGATCGCAAATAAATTTGCCAGAGACGCAACCAAATTTTTTTGGGCTTACAGCTCCTGAATGGCTGCAACTTTTATCTTCAGTTTTTAGGCACTCTACCATACAACGTCTTCATTGCAGGCTGTCAACCTTTTTCTAACCTTACTTACGGATTTATTTCCAAAGTACCGTGCTCATGCACGCTTTTGACATCGTTCCGGAAGGCGCTAAAATGGTTTTGTTTTCAGGAAAAAATGGGCAAAAAATAGGAAATGGGTTTAGTCACAAGCATTCTTTAAGCTTCAAAAATAGCATTTTCTCTTCCAGCAAAAATGGTTCGCACATGGGGATTTAACTCAAGACATTGTAGTCTAAAGTGTTTACTTCCAGAACTATGGTGAATGTCTTTCAGTGCAGTCATTCAAACAACAATGAGTTGTCCCAGCACTCATAAATCGCAAATCTTACCTGTTGCTAGAAAATGAATTATTATGAAATGATCAATTAAATCAACTGCAGTGGATTGCTTTGTATTCTTGAATTTTTGCTGTTATTTCTTTTATTATGTGTATATGTAGTTTAAGCGTCTAGGCAATCAACACTTCAAATGTTGATATCGGACTAGAAAATATTCTACTGGGTCAGTTGATATCCTTCCTATCCACCTTTTCGCGACCACAATACAGCAAGCAGCAAATCGTTGGAATTTCCCTACTTACCCAATCTACACAAAATTGTGTAGGGAGGTTTTTGAGCATTTTACTTACACTATCTCCCAATTTGTAAGTACAATTCCTCTTCCTCTGACATATTAGGTTGGCTCGAAAGTTCTTGCGTAATTCAAACAAAATTCAATAACTTTTCAATGACTAAACCTAAATTCACAATCTTGTTCTATTTTATTTATTCATACGCACTTCGGCGTGCTAACAATGCAACAAAACAGCTAACATGAGGATACTAAGGAGAGCCGCAATGAAAATGAAGTAGTAAACACAAAACGAAACAAAAAAAACCACCGAATATCTTTTTCTGACCAGCACATAAAGCTACAACATATGGGTGGGTCCAGAAATAAGCTGAAAGGACATACTACCGAGTAATGTAATTTCTAGACCAAAGAATTCGTATATCCGCTTACCCTCGCCAGCCAACAGACATGAAAGTGGCCCAACAGTGGGAGCGGGAGCAGAAGCTCGGCAAACGGATACGCCGGCAGCCCCCGCCGACATACCCAGACGGGTACACTGGTAGGGGGCCATCAGCATACCCGCTCACCAAACCTCCGCATCACCCCCACCATCCGGCCACCACCATCCCGGTGGGCAGGGGAGGGAAAGCAGCCTTACGGAGGTTAACTAAATAGTGCCTACACTAACTCATGTATGCCGCCTAGAGCTTACTAGCTGAATTACGCAAGAACTTTCGAGCCAACCTAATATAATTAAGTAAGGTCTCTTGGCATTCTTTAAAGTGATCTGATGAGTACTTTCCACTTTGTGATCCGAGTTTCATGTAGGACCATCTCTTTTGACTGTAACCTTCCTTCTACCACGTTTTTTTCTCTTCGAATCTAAATCTTTTTTACAACCAACTCGCACCTCTCTCCTTGCTTGCTTGTTTGGCACCTGCATTACACAATATTTTATCGAAAATTACCATGTGCAGACATCTGCTATGAACCTCTCAATCCCGCACCAGAGCTCGTGCGCGTGGCAATTTCGTACTTCATGTATAGGGCATTTGAAAAATCGTGACGATGGCGCGACCGCGCGCGACACGCACGCCAGTTCCGGAAATCGCATTTTCTTGATTCTCATTTTTAGCTAAGTGGTTTTTTTTCTGCTTGCGTATAACGATATTCAAACACTGGAAGTGACTGAGCGGAACCTTGAGGTGATGCTTTCTTGTAAGAGCGTTTTATGCTTCTGTGGGAGCAAAGTCCGCAGTAAAATCCATCTCACGATTTTATAAATGAACTATACAGTCAATGTGAGGAAATGGTAACTTCTGCGACGATCCTGCGTTGTCATATCGTCGCCATTCGCCATTTCAAAGAAAATGCTGGGAGAAAATGAGAATGTGTGCTACGGGCCATTTTGCGCGCGCAGTTTGTCGATATTACGGGCGTAACAATGTCTTCATGCGCAGATTTTGCCGGCAATCTACAGGGCTCCCAAATTGCAGAGTCGTTTGCACCAGCGGTCGCGCGACCGCGTCGCGCCCGGGCATCCATGGCGCCACCTCCATCGATGGCGCCGGCGCCGGCAACCGCGTCGCGCCCGGGCATTTTGCCGGCGCCGGCGCCATCGATCGAGGCGGCGCCATTGACGCGGTCGCGCGACCGCTGGTGCAAACGACTCTGCAATTTAGGAGCCCTGTACGCTACACTTGCACAATATTCACCTTCAGATCTGCTATACAGGCTGTACAAGGGCGCTAATGCTTCTTTTTATTTTCTCATGACCTTCTCAGTGTCGAGGAGCAGGGAAAGATGAGCAGCAGTGCGACAAGAGCAGAACACACTGAATGAGATAATCCAATATTGAGTCGACTCTTAACATCAACTAAAACATAGCTGATTTGCCATCGCCAATCTTCATGAGATTGAGTCTACATATCTAATTCATTACCTTTCACGTAACGCCTCCTATATCCAGCCTTTTGCGCAAGTTCAAGCTGCCTTTTCTACTTTTTACACTCGATAGAACTGGTGTAGCTGGCCAATCACTTCAAGAAACTTTGTTGATGGAGACATGCTTACGCGTCAATGCTTATAAACAGAGCATGTATTAGGTTGTCCCAAAAGTAATCTCCTTCTTTAAAGAAATCAAACTGTTTTTGTTCTCCTAGTAGACTTAGGGTATCATTCAATAGAGCGAGGCAAGCTCTACAAAATGACCATCAAAGATTCGCCTAAGTTGTAATCCAAATAAAATTTAGAGCCAAAAATCTAAATTCTCAGATACCCTAAAAATCGAATCTCCCTCCAGAATTCTTACAAATCTCCAACTTTATACAGTAGAAACATAGTAGTGCCCAAAAATGGATTTGATGGATTTTTGCGGGGCTCAATATTGAGAAATTAAAATGACCCGAAAATGCAAAAATGTCCTTTTCGGTTTTTCAGACTGCTGAACTTGGTACTTCTCAATCACCAAAGCACAAACAAAATTCTGGGAATATCTTTATCAAGGCTTGTATACAATGACATATGTGGGACGGACTGAGGACAGAATTTGCCATTTTTGATTATCTTTTTTTCTCGCTTTTTAAGCGCTGTATAAATCCAGCGAAGGCATTTTTGAGTACTGCTATGTGTATACTACTGCATAATGACTAAGTTCGAGGTCCTTGAAATTTTTTCGCGCAAAAACTCAATTTTCCGGTGATAAATTGTTTTACGATTTTGGCTTCAAATTTTGCCCGGATTAAGACATAGACGGATCCTCGGTGTCCATTTTGTAAATGCTTCACTTTAGAAGACGCTTTAGATTTGCTTGGAAAACAAAAACAGCTTGGTTTATCTAGAAAAGGAGTTTAGTTTACTTTTGGGACAACCTGATAGAAGAGGGAATACGTTTTCTAACGCTGAAAACAACCCCTAGGATGGTTGCAACGCGGCATCTGTGCTGGAGCAAGGCTCTTTTCAGTCACTGCTCCCGTACTGCAGCAAATTTGCAGATTACCCTTTTTCATTTGATTTTGTTAAATTTAGCAACCACGACCACGACCACAACCACCACAACTCTTACGACCTCGATTTCTACGACACAAGAAGAGCGAAAAGAAGAAAAAAGTGGTGAAAAGCAAGAAAAAGAAAAGAAGCAGAAGGGGCTGTCACCTGTGGGTTCTGTCTTTTGCTTCGGCTGCATTCGTGCTTTCTATACAAAATCAATTTCAGCTACTCATAGCAGGTATCATAATAGTAGCGGTCCTCGGCGTTGTGATAGTGATTACGATGTTCGTAGCCGTTTATAGAAGGAGAAAACAAAGACAAGAAAGGCAAGAAAAAGAAGTAAAGAAAGCGCAAGAAAGAGAAAGCGCAAGCAGCTCGTCCGGTGGCGGGGCATCCTCAAGTGGAAGAAGAGCGCCGACAAGGCGCTGAAACACACGGATCCGGATCGACTACTTTAAAAGACGAAAGTCCAGAAAGTATTACTAGTTGTGATTTAAATGATACTGTGCGTTCGATTGAAAAATAATTGCTTGCTTCTTCTGTTAATGATACAACAACACAATACACGGTGTATTTAGTGTTGTAAGTGGATCCCGTTGGTATTTGTCTATATCACAAAACATTGGCAAAATTGCTATTCCACGTTAGGTGACCTAAAGAATGAAAAGCTCGGAATTCACTAAAACTAGCGGCATTAAGTGACCCAAAAAGTAGAAAAATCGCAAACTTCGTCTAAGTTATCTTTTACACTAAGGAGATCATATTAGGTTGGAAAGAAAGTTCTCAGACATTGCATTTAGACAAGGTTTTTGTTTCGATGTAAACACTAATCGGGGCATGCTGCACACCATTGGATAGAGAAAAGCAATCTCTACAAAACCATGGTAAGCTTATCAGTGTTTTCAGTGTAAATTCAAGCAAAAACCCTAAACCATAAGCTTTGCCCTAACCCAGATCTCCAACTTCCATAAATGTTATGAAACCCGCACATGCTCCAATTCATAGTATACACATACTTACATACTTAGTCGCACAGTTCAGATCAAATTTGAGCTTGAATTACAAGAAAAATGAGGTAACTAAAAAGTGACAAACTCCGCCTCCATTGATTCCAGGCTCCTCCCACTTGCAATTTCAGATACAGGCAAGTGAAAATACAGCTGCAAATTTTTGCGCATGTACATACATGAGATTTCGAGATATAACAGATTTGATCAAAAAATGTCCGAGAACTTTCTTTCCAACCTAATATCTCGCGCGGTAGTGCCATCTGCTGGGATTACGGGAAGATTAAAGGCACACCGTCTACCCAGATTTTCGACTTCCATAATTTAATCATTCCGGGCCTTTGGAGGATCCTGGCCGCCGTCCAGAAGGGCGTTGCATGGGCCGCAGATTCAAAACACAACTGTTGGGGGGTGAAAATACGAGAAAATCCATTAATTTTTTTAATCAAAATCGTGAACATTTAGTTATCGCCAAACCGTCAAACTTAGAGGTAATTTCATACGCTAGTACACTAAGTTGTCTGCATCCTTGAAAGATGCTTAGCTTGAATGAGGCTGCTGTGTTGGTGATCTTCGGAAAAAGCGCACCTCCTGGCCGTCTTCCATGGTTGCCTACTATTTTCCATCCTTTTTCTCATTGTGGACAAAGTCATTTTTACACATGAACTTTGTTGTAAATGCGAATGGAAAAGACTGTTTTTAGGCAAAATAATACTCATTTTTAAATTAAATAGAGATTTGCCTTCACGTCGCCATCAAATAGTGGTTTTGAAGCTGCCAAAATTCCGACCATCGCGTTCTCCATAAGTGTTTTAATTTTTGGGATTATTACAAAGCGAAAACAATGCAAAGCAGTCCCAAACATCTAGCGTAAGTTCTAAAAGGCTTATGTTAAACAAGTTAAACCCCCTAATAAACAGTTTTCGTTGAAGTTGATAGAGTTGATTGGGTCAAACATCCCTTCAAAACCAGGTCACCTGACCTAAATGTTCTTGACCACTTATGTAACTTGCCTTCAACTGCTCCGTTGTTGTAATATGTTATGTACTTACCTCAGTAAGAATCTGACTCCAAACCTTCCTTTCCCAAGATTGCAGCTCCTGAGAAACTCCTACCCAAGTGAAAATCACCGTCAAAAATGCCGTTCTAACATGTACTCGAACGCAGTCACTGAAAAATGTGCCTACTTTTGCTCATAGTTCCAAAAAAACCAAAAACTTCTCAATGGAAGCCAGATATCCAGAATAGCATATTTTATACCCCAAAAGGTGAAAAGAAGAAAGAACGTTTAGGTAAGCGTGTAGGAAATTGGGAAGGGTCTTTTTAACGGCGTGCGGATGACTGTAAGTATCGAGGCGCTCTAACAGTGGATATTAATGTTTATTATAATCGTACTTATCACTGTATCAGATTAGCGCTGAAAAAATTGCACTTTCCTCGTCATTCCGCTCCAAAGGGCTCATAACTTCCCGCTCACAGTCGTTCCGTGGATAAAGACGCGAGGTTTATAATTTTCACCTCAAAACGGCCACTTTGAATGACGCAGATTTCTTTCATAAGTGGTCGTGAGGTAAGCGAGGAGTGGCGAGAACCTGCGCGAGCAGGATACAAAGGTTTTCGAAAGGTGACGCTATTGCATCAACTTAACGTTCGTAATACCTCTCCACTTGGGATTAAGGCCTCAAGCTTGAACAATTGACTTTCGGCTCAACATCAGTGACCAACCTTGCGCAGCCTATAATGAAAGCTTTGGAAATTTCCGTTTTCATTCATGGCGGCGTCGAACTCCGCGGAAGTTCCCGTGGGTCGTCTTACAAGTGAGGGAAGATTATGCAGTGTAACACATCTCTTCGTCGGTCGTTAGATCTTCTAGCGTCCTTCCTATATGAGTGATTGATTGTTTACATATCAAGCCTCATTCATTTATTATATGTACCAGTGCGTCACCTCTGCTTCGCAGAGGCTCGCACTGGCCCTACATTCTGTATGCCTTCTCATTCCCGCATGATAGTGGCATTGAAACTCACCCCGTTATGCAGGCTATCACGAATGATTTGTAAACAGCTACTCATTCCTAGAGCTTTTTTGTGTGAGATCGGTATTTTCACAGGGATGAAACTTTTCCCTGTAGAATAAATGCAAATTTGAATAGGTTTGTGGACTTTTTACGGTTTGGTAGTCGCCATAACGGCAATAATCATCGTTGGCTACATCTCTGTGCAAAAATTTCCTCAAATGATCAAGTAAAATCTTGGAAAACTGAACATTTACGCAACTATTCTTTTTGGCGCCATCTTCGTAAAGTAACCAACTTTGGTTGAATTTTTTGAACTCAAGTCCATGGCTTGTACATTAGCTTGTCAAACATATCCATGACTTTGCAAAAAGTTTATATACGGCCCAATTTTGCTGGTCAGAAGTTAAGTGGACCCGTTTCATGCGCAATTTTTGGGGGATCCACTTATCGGACCCGCTTCTGCTTTTGCACAATGGACTTTTCTGCTGCTAGGATGCGCTATGCAAAATTTGGGCTCAAGAGGTTGGCTGGAACTCTCCCTACGAATTTCGTAACGGACAGACAGACAGACAGACAGACACACACACACACACACACACACACACACACACACACACACACACACACACACACACACACACACACACACACACACACACACACACACACACACAAAAACGTAAACAACCCTTAGCCCGTTATTATAAGTTATGATCTTTTGTTGGGCAGTTCTCAGTCAATTACAAGTGGACGAGTCAATTCAGTCGGTTATGCTTATGCGTTTCTGGGCAATACTTATCTCTATCCAGCTGCTGTTCATTCATGTTCATCTGGTACATGTTTTCTGGAAACTGCTAGATGGCCTAGTACCTGTGAGTCATTATTATTGAATTATACCAACCAAGACGCCAAAACCAAGCAGTGAGGGAGCCTTCATCCTGCGCCGGCAGCCGCCGCCAGCAGCCATTGAAGTGACTAGGCAGCGGCGAGTTTGAAGTATTTCGTTTGATTCCCCTAGAGGAACTGAGTCCAACAGCTTCTGGATTTTAGTAACTCGGACATAGAAAGTGCTTCGTGGGCGGGGAGTAAAAGGCCGCCCTCTAGCAAACGACTGACTCGTGGTGTCCAGGTAGGTTGAGACAGTCACTCCTCTCGTCCTCAGTTGTGTTATTGGCTCCAGCACCAATCGTACTATAAAGAGTAGGGCTTCCGCTTCCCGTCAAAGTAGTAATTTCCGCGTCCAGTAAAATGAGTTATCAATATCTCCAAAGCCGCAAAGCACAATTTTAGACTCAGCTCCTTCAGATAAGTCAAGAACGATAAATGCTCCAAAGTATCAATCTGCTGGGCCACTGCCCTTATCGCCTGTAGCCATCAGCCGTCCGTCAAAGTAGGCGCTTTCATCATATACCATAGGTCCTCTTGTCTTTGAACCTGGGGCGGTATTTATCAATCTCCTGTATGGGAAGGGGTTCCCCTACAGGTAACAGCCCGTATAGGCGCGAGCACTGGCGCCCGCGATATATGAAGCCAAGCTGTGACCGGGCTCCTATCTATTGAGGAATATGGTCCGACCTGGCAAGTTTGGTTATGTAGGGCACGGCAGCTGGGCAGCAGTTCCCCATCTCGACGAGTCGGACGGCGCTGCCCGTTTGGGCCGCGTTTCTCAGACTTTCGTAAATCGCGGAAAGGGCGCTTTCGCCTGTGCGGGCTCTCGTTAACAATGGCCCGCATAGCGAGTGGGCGATTGCTACCGCCCCTGGGCATCTTCTTGTTTATGTACTATTCTGTATGCGATCTGTTTGTCCAAAACTATTACGCAAATTCAAGTACTTCACTTGCGCAAGCTAAAGTTTATTCGCGGAATGAATCTCTTCGGATTTGGATGCGCTCATTCTTTTCGAATGTGCCTTGCTGCTACAATGATCTATTTCTCAGTCACAAATTGAAACCTATGCCAATGTAAAAAGATGTGCTCCAGAAAAAGATATTCCATATGACAAAGGTAAACGAAACAAAGCACACCAAAAAGACGACTACGAATACAAAGGTAATGTATGAGAGTCAAACTGCACATGAGAGTCATGAAGAAGCATGGAAGATGACTTCAAGTGCACTCAAACTTGGAGGAGCGAATCGGAAGTAACTACACATTGAAAAATTTAAAAAAAAACGGAAGATAAGAAGCATACCTTGCAGTGTGATATGGTGATTTTGCGCTCTCAAGATAGAAAAACGGCTGACGATGGAAACGGATGCTGATGGCTGTCTATCTATTCGTCTATCTACCTGTCTGTCTATTTTTCGTCTGTCTGTCTGTCTGCTCCGAAAAGAAATTCCTTTTCTGATCCAATCAGGTCCAAACCTGGCACACATACAACGGCATTGCAGTAGCAGTCTACTTTTCGTCATCGACCTGCAACTTCTTCAACAATTTTTATCGATTTTCTACGTTCGAGCTACGGAGCTGGCACAGGGGATTAACTAAGCATGCTAATTACGAATGCAATAAGTCTTAAGAAATTTTTGCAAAGTTTGAGCTCTGGGACTGGGAGTTAATATGGGAGCCTGCATAATCGCGAGAGTGGATTGGCCATTGCGCCGACCACGTCCGATCTCACTGCACCGCTGCCAAATTTATCCTGTTTAACCTGTTCGTCCGGTTCACTCATTCGCTGTTGGTCAAATCAATGCACTGACCAATAGCAGAGGGGGTGAATGAACCCGTCGAAAAGGTAAGTCTGGCACACACCTAATTCATGGGACGGACAAGGGACCTTCTCGGCGCAATGGCCGTACGCACGTCCGACTCTCGCGATGTGACCATGCAGGCCCCTACACAGATGGGATGACTATGCTGATTAATGGGTCGCGAAAATTTTGAAAGTTGCTTGAGCTATAAAAATGTGCAAGTGGCTTGTTTATACTTGTAAATAATTAAAGTCTTTTTTAAACTTTTTAAAAATTCAGTTTAGCCTTATAAATAGAATTTTTCAGAGCCGTGGCTAGCGCCATGCCCCCTTTTCTGTAACTCGGAGTTAGGAGTACGCAAAAATTTTGAGAAGCATACCAAAAAATTCTTCGGAGTGCGTGGCCCAGGCCACGTACTTTATCGGAAAAATTTTTTGTCCCCCCCCCCCGAACGAAAACCTTGGGTACGCCGCTGGAGGCAAGGTACAGGTATACAGAGTTGGGACTCATGAGATGTGTTGGCTTGTCATCCTATCACACCGTGATAAAAAGGGCCTACCGAGCATAACGGGTCATAATTGTCATATATCACACCCATTATCATTTATCATATCCATATTTAGCATGTGAATAACCTCTGGCCTAATAAACGAATTTGAAGTCCAGATATTGGGCCACCTGAGTGAAATGATCATTTTCGACATGATAAAGTTTCTTCAAAATTGAATTAGCTGCCTCTTTTTGCACTCAAGACAAAGCACTACTCTTTCGCCGACTCCAGAAATTTCGCATCAAAGAACCACACGCTATGGAATTAAAGCGCCAAATATCGTTTGTCCTATTATCCGCTTTTAGGGCTGTGCTTTCTCCATCTATTACTTTAGCAAAGGAGACGATTCTGCAAATCGCATACAGATGCGGCTTGAGTAACAATTCGATAGGGCAAAGCAAGCTCTCCAAGATGAGTATCAAGAGTGTGCACAAATCGCATTCCACGTAAAGTTTTGAGCTGAAATATGATAGCAGTCAAAAACGAGTTTCACTGTCAAAAATCGTATCTCCGCCCCAAAAAATTCAAAAAATTTCTTATTTAACCTAGCATATGTTTGACACATCGAACATTCAACTAGACAATTTTTGTATTTTTTCCATGGCTAGAAACTAAGAAAAAATGAATGGAAGTAAAATGGCAAATCTGTCCAGACGTCCTGAGCTCCTCGCACGCACGTGATTGTTTGGCTCATACATACTGAAGTACAATCATGTATTTGTATCCTTTGTAGTTGCCCTAGTTCTCGAGAAAAGCTGATGTTTAGAGTAGAAACGGTAAATAATTATGGGACATCCTAATATAATATAATATACAGTTTCCCTCACAATGGTCAGCTCCTCAACGTGCGTGGGGATGACACTGGTGTCGAACTGCACAGCCAAGTGTATGTATACTCTGGTAGGCCCTCCCAAGCTGTAAAGGAGTTCGACGTTTCCGGTTTCGGCCGGATGCCTAGCTGAGAGCCGGCCAGGCCACATCCACCGCCGTCTCGTTTTTCCGGTCGCTAAGCGGTCCTGCCCGCTCCACACCCGGGTCAGCGATTGCTCCGTGGAAATCAGGAGTGGGCTTACTCAGACAATCGCCAAGGCGGCCAGGCGAATTTTGAGCAAGCGGGCACCGAAAAAATAGTTCGCTGATTTCTTGCGGTCCGCTTGCAGAAATTTGGAATAATTTTGGCCAATGTTTAGACGAACGCTTAAAAAATTATCGCGGTTTTTCTATGGATTTGCGGCTCAGTGACCGCGTTCTCGTGGATTTTCCGCGAGAATATGCAAAATTGCTCGGGGCCGCACGGTCCTTTGTGAAGGACCACACTGCCCAGAGCACCGTTTAATTCAACGATTGGCTTCGGCAAAGGCGGGGCTTCGTGACCTAATTAGGACTAGGTAATGATCAGAGAGCACTCGCGCGAGAGAGAACTGAGGCCGCGTCGCGGGCGCGAACGGCCTCAGTTGGATCACGGAACCCCGCCCTAATGGTGCCAAGCCAGTTGAATCAAAGGTTAGCTTCCGTTGAAAGAAGGTGCACCAAACTTGGGTAACTGTAGAGTCTCACCTTTGCTAGGCGTACGGCCGAAACTGCTTAAAAAGAGTCCGAGCTTGCTGAGAGAAATTATTTGCCAAGAGCTTGCAGAAAATGCTGTATTGCTGCCCGCTGGCAGAATATGCGACCGTAACGGAAGTGCCGCCCGCTGAAAGTTTGGCAACGCCCCAAAATTCTGCTGACCGGCTGCAGAAAAGCAAGAGTTTGTGGACCGCTTGCCCCGGCGATTATCTGAGTAGTAGATCTGCTCTTGTAGGGGAAAATATGTCAACTCCGCCAGTTAGAAGAATAGAAAGAAACCCTGTACATCAGGGATGGTAGTAATCTACCCTACCGCTCAGATAACCGCCGGGGGCAGGCGGTCCGCAAACTCGCGTTTTTCTGCAAGCGGTCTGCAGATTTTTGGGACATGGCCAAACCTTCAGCGAGCGGTACTTCCTTTACTGTCTAATGTTCTGCCAAGGGGCAACAACGCAGAATTTTCTGCAGGCGCTCGTCAAATAATCTCTTTCAGCAAACGCTGGCCGAACTTTCAGCAGGCCTCGGACTCTTTTTACGGAGTTTCGGGCGTCGAGCACAGGTAAGTGTGGCGGAGGTGACACCGTTGGTTTAATTACTCAAGTTTGAGGTACTTTCTCTCAGCCGAAGGTACCTGGGGGCTGCGTCCTCCACAAAGGACCGTGCGGTCCTCGGAAATTTCGCATATTCTCGCGAAAAGTCGGTGAGATTGCGGCCACTGCGCCGCAGCTAATCTTTAAGGAAACCGCGACTGTTTGTCGCGGTTTGTCTAAAATTTCGCTAAAATTCTTCCAAATATCTGCAAGCGGACCGCAAGAAATCAGCGAACTATTTTTCCGGTGCCCGCCCGCCCATAAATCGCATGGCCGCCTGCCTCCGGCTATTATCTGAGCTGGTGGCATCAAAAATGCCGGCAAGTTCGCGAACCTCGCGGCATGCTCGTGTTTCGGGCGCAAGCTAAATCTTGCTTTAGATTCTCGCTTTTTGATTAGCTTTGTGACATCTTATTCGCTTCGATCGCTCGTAGGTTCTGATAGTTTTAAATACTCGTACTCCGCAGTCATATGC